CATTTAAAATACATGGTGGTTTAATCTATTAATTAAACTAGACTTTTAATTTAATTAAACTCAAACCATATATTTTATGGATTAATAATACTCTTTTAATTAAATGCTTTAATTAACTATTAATAAAGTCCGTAAGAGTTCATTTGAACTATTCAACAAAACATCATAATTCCAATTATTAAACTCAAAATTAAAGCCATTTAATTAATTGTTTAAGTTATGAACCCAAGAGTTTTAGAATTCAATTCTTTTTTTCATAAAAAACTTTTCTCAAATTCCAAAACTTGAGGGCAAGTTTTGTAATTCTTGAAAACCTTTGGATTCCATAACTTATGGAATTAATGGTGTTTTATGATGAAACTTTCCATGTTCCATAACTTAAGAACAAGTTATGGAATTCTTTAAAACATTAACACCAAATTTTGTAACTCCATAAAAACTTTGAATCAAATTTTTTTTTAAAAAAAAACTTTCATATCCATAACTTATGGAAGTTTCAAAAACCCTTAAGATCACAACTTTAAAAAAACCTTTTGAGCTCCAAAATTTTATGACAAAATATGTAACTCCTTAAAACATTTAGATCAAACTTTTAAAACTAATAAAATAATCATATCATTTTATCTTTTACTAAATTTGACCTAATTCAACTCATATAACAAATGATTCAAATTTTACAAATAATTCGTTTTTCACAAAACAAGTAATTATCTTAAAATTTGACAAACGTCATGTTTTTTTTTCCTTTTTTTTTCAACTTGAAAATAAAACATTTGCATCAATATAACAGAAAACAACCCATGGCTCTGACACCACTGTTGGGTTTTGAGCATTCTAACACTCCTATGGTGTACATGCAACCCTATAAACCTTGGATCTATGTTTTCTCTATTATACATGCAAATATTAACTATTCCAAGGTTTCATCCTAACTAGCATATTATGAAGCACTACTACAAAGTTCTAGTTAGATGACATACCTTTTTGATGTAGCTTGATGTCTTCAAGATTTAACAGCTTAGCCCCAATAGTGTGGAAGCCTCAAATGGAATCACAAATCACCAAAACACCTTGGAAGAACTTGAGAGAATATGTATGCACACTAAAATCGGCCCACTCTTATTTTCACACACTTGAGCCAATTTTGTGAGCCAAGGACCCCTTTATATATTATGGAAGATTAGGGTTACATCCATGTAAACCCTAATACCCATGACCTTTCATTTACATAGGATCCATGGGTTAAAAGCTCCATGGTCCATCCATGAAAGCTTATCCCAACCTAAATGAACTTGGCCTATTCCATATATAAGAGTCCATATTTAATTAGTTCTTTTTGATCACTTAATTAATTCTAAATTAATTCTTGATCAATACTAATTAAATAATATGATTCCATATTAATATATTAGAACTTATAATATATTAATATAAATCATAAATATACTATTCTTAAAAGACTATCCATATAAATTGTGCCCGTGAAGTGCAACCCAAATGGACCATGCCGGGTCGGGTCAAGTACATACCAAATATAGTTATGGACTTAGACATTAATCCAACATCGACTTCTGTCTTCATCCATTCATTTGCATGGAGTCATCACAAGATCTTTATAGAATGGAGAATGTTTCTTTAAACCCATCTTAAAGGCTTACACGATTGTGCCATGTTGATGTTTGGTATATTTAGTGCTTACCTGCCAAACTTGCTCACAAAGTCCCTTAAGGATTCTTTAGGATCCTAGACCATCCGGTAGAGATCGCTAGTGATCCTTTCAAATATTCCGCTGCAAGAAAACTGGTTATTGAAAAGATTAATTAGGTAAGAAAAAGAGGTAATAGAATAGGAAGGAACATTAAGAATCCATTTTAAGGTTTATCCTGTAATATTCGATCTGAAGCCTTTGCATAAAGAGAACTCCTTTAAATGTGGTGGAATGGGAATGATCTCCATGCTTTCCCTTTATTGTGCAATATGTTCTTCAGGATTCGTGGTTCCATCGTAAGGCTTCATGTTAGGAGTTTGGAAGGGCTTTAGAACTTCGTTGTTGGCTATCAGGGGGATAAATCTTGAGATCCTGACTGGTGGGGGATGCTTCTGGTATGGGTTGCACTACCCCTTGTATGCTTGAGATCATTTATCTTAGCTATTGGAGTTCTTTGGCCATGACCAGACTTATTCATGCATTAAGATCCATAGAGCTAGCACTAGTAGTGTTACACTTAAAGAAGTTACCGGTATTTATGTTATGAGGAGTGCTGCAGGCTTCATCAAGATCCTAGGTCATAGGAGTTTGGATGTCTTGGATCGCTCTTCATGTTGTGGTAGCAACGGATGTTGGAGCTGTCGATTCCAGACATTTCCCCATGTATCATGTATTGTCTAAATTTAGGATCCTCGATTGCAAGACTGAGGGTGTCACCTCCTGGGGCTTACGGATCTCCGCCCTTATCGTTTCTACTTCATTAAGCAGTGTTTTATTATCTTTCGAGGAAGGAGGATCGTGGGATCCCAAGGATCCTGGAGGAACCGGAGGAGTGTTCTTCTTTGGTACATCGGAAGATTTCCTTTGGCCAGGGAATCCGCTTGGAGGGGTGGAAGATTTTTTGAAGGAATAGAGGGAACATACGAAGAAGAAAGATCCAGTTGTGTAGACATGATTTTTTGAGGATTACAAACACCACAGCCCCATGGTGGGCGCCAAATTGTTTTGGTCAAAAATCGATCAAATGAAGATCAACCAAGTTGTATGAGAGGTTGTGTTGTTGTAGTTAATACAAGAACGGAATTGAAATTAAAATGACAAGAGTGGTTTACAAGGAAAGCCCTTGATCCTTGATAGGATCTCCAGCATATAGTCTTGGGAGGTGATAATGATAACCTGCCTTGTTTGATCTTATTGATTTTAATGCAAATTACAGAGATGATGATAAACATACGAGTACAAGTATTTGTGTAGCTCTAGGTGCGTAAGGTGTATAGAGATTGTGCCCGTTGTGTTAGTTTTACAAGTGTATTTATAGTTTAGGTTATGTAACTAAAAGTCCGATATTTCTGGGATCCTATTGAATTAGTATTTGCATGTGCTTTGACTTGGTATTCTTGAGTCTTAAGCTTGATTGAAGCACTTCTTTAAAGTTTATGAGTCTTTTGTTGACTATTTCTGCACATGTGGATAATAAACAAGAAATATACCTGTTACTTTCGTTAGGAAATAATATTGATAATATTCAGGATCCTGACATGCTGTAACGTATATAATAGGATCCTGATTCAATTTAATATTCAGGATCGTGGACGTGTTTTAGGATCTTGACCCCTAACAACGTCATTATGAACGGACTCTCCACCTTAAAAATTTTCTTACAGTAATCTTCTTCTTTCTCTCTCAAGCTTCCATATTCATCACAAAAATCTCCCCCAATTTTGCAAAATTTCCCAAGGGAAAGAAATCATCGAAAGGTTACATTGAATCATCTTCCTCGAGATGATTCTCAGAGATACAACCCAACTTTTCTCCCTAAATCCTACAGATTGCGATTAATCTGTTAGGGTTATGATTGATTTCATCTCTCAACATCCATTTTACATTCCACTCACAAAAGGTTCCGTTTAATCATCTTCCTCTGAGGATCGTATTGAAATGATGATTACTGATGAGTGGATCATCTTCGTCTATAAATCGAAGTTTCTCAAGGCAGTTGGTGTTCCTGAAAACCCTGAAAAAAAATCATTTCTAAACCAAATGCTAAGCAATTTCAAGACTTTCTTAACAACATTGTGTTTAATGGCACCTACATCTCCAAAGATTTCAAGAAGTCATCTGTTCCTAGGCTGTGGATTGTGCTTATGCACATCATTATGAAGGGACTCTCCGGAAAACACGGCAGATCTAACACAATGAGAAAATGTTGGATCTATTTGTTATACATCATGTACACAGAAAAAGATTCATCAATTGACCTTCCGATGACCATGGACCATTTGGAATGACTTTTGGAAGTTCACTGATAAGATAAAGAGCAACGAGATCCATATCTAATATTTTGGGATCTCACACTACAACAACTCTATTCGGATATGCACGAGGCCATTCCGACTAACACGTCCATTGATATGGTATACTACTATTTTTAAAATCATTAAATCTTATCGAATTTTGTATCAATTGGAATTTAGACCAATGTGACGATTTCTAGAGAACATGCTTGTAATTCTACCTTTCGGTTCCCCTTAAAAATTAGACATTTGGATGATTCAGAATTGATAATCCCACCAATTCCTGCCTACCCACCAATTTTTCCTCCCTCGGAAGGAGAGAAGCCTATTGTATTTAGATCCAGGAAGTAGCTTATCTAAAAAAAGAGATAAGCTATTTGTCCTTCTAAACCCACAGCCAAAAAAGAGCGAAAACATGTGAATTCTCTCAATAGGATTCACATATCGATTTCCAACCTGACTCTGCATCTCATCCTACCCTACCCATCTACTCTTCTGCAGTACCCTTCGTAGTTTAAAAACCACATCCACACATACACGCATGGGGAGTCTACACATGATCCACCCTCATCCTCCCAAAAGGATGTTGTAGGTGCTGAACAAAGTCCCTTGGAGCCTCTGGAACATTCTCACAAGTCATTCTTGATACTTTTCCTTTCACATAAGCATGATTTCTGACCCCCATCGGAAGTCCCAAGCTATCCAAGAAAGGGCCAATTCCTCATTCCTCGGTTGCCACAATCGAATTGATACCCACCACGGGTAACCCACTATTTAAGACAAAGAGAAGAATTTATAGGAGCTCATTTCCTTGAGGTTAAAAGACTCAATGGAAGAATCCGAAAACTAATATTCTGAGCTCATCAAACAGCATGAGGATACCGACACCAAGGTACTCTTTGTACACGATGAATTAGTTAAAGCCACAAACTCATGTTAGGCATAAATAATAAACCCAACTATTGGAAAGGGAGATTTACTCCAAGGATGGCATGTAGATGGTACTCCAGCAATTCCTCATCAGAGTAATCAAATATGTACAACACTTCATTGATATTCTGAACTACAAGTTCGACGAAGTGTTAAAAAGATTTGAGGACACCTTGGAGGAATTAAAGAAACAAGATCCCAATGTCGATGCCTATGACAACCTCACTAAAGTTGTCAATGTGAGTTTTCAAAAAGTCTTCGAAAAATTTGGCAAACTAAAGGATCAGGTATTTCTTGCACTGAAGGTTGGGCCTTCATATGCAATAGGAGGAGAAGGAACTAGTGGTGGTTGGAATAAATACTTCAAGCACTGAGGCGAAACCTTGGATGAAGACATGGTCAATGACAACATAGAAGAACAACCTTCTTTCGGAAGGTTGATAATAGTCACACCCTCGGCCGAGGGGGCAGAACAAGTCGGGTTGTGCGACTAAGTTCATGGATCACTGATAAACTAAATATATAGCACAAGTACAACAATAAACAAAACAACATTTGTATTCCATCTTTATGTTTGAATACAGGGTTCTTATAGATAATAGTAATACATGAATTGTCATAACAGATAGGCTTAACATAACAAAAAAATTAGAATTTAAATTTCCTGCAATCCATGATTTTCCCAATGTCTGAAATGCTTGAAATCACTAATTTCCTGAGAATACATGTAGTTTGAAAGTCAACACAAGGTTGGTGAGAGTCATAGGGTTTTTGCTAACAACAGTATAATACTTTTAAAAAGTCTAAAAAGTATTTTCTTTGTATGTATAAAAACAGTGTTTGTAAATAAGATTTGAATTTTCAAAAAGGTATCGTAAGTAAATCCATACTTAAAAATAGCTTTGAAGTTAACCAAATCCATGGTTTGTAGTGAGAGAGAGTTTTTAGTTAATGTTTATAGTGAGTCCTATAACCAAGCTATGTGACTGTATATACACCCCCTACGTCGCTTCATTATATGTCGTAGTAATGATTGTAGACACTTATCACCTGCTTCGATTAATCAGTCGAAGTTGTAGGTAGAAACCGCAGGTGGAGATGTCAATCTCGTATACATCTATACATATGTATCTCGCTCTAAAGATAAACAATTATAGTAGTGTGGGTATACTAAATGTTTAGACTTAGCTAATGAATATAATCTCACTAAAAAGCCCTTAACTAAGGTAGTTGAAAAAGCTCTCAGCCCCAATTTATAAGTGGATAAGTTATTAGGCATAATGAATTTGTATAAAGTTTATAAAAGCATAATTGGTATATATTTAAGTATAGTTCCTTGAATAAACTATGTAGTAGCAAGGCATACTTTATTTTAATTGTTGCAAAATCTGAACAAATTAACATATGATTATCTTGATGCTGGAAACTAGTATTCATGACAGATAATGCCAAGCTATTATTTCATAATTAGTATAATATTTGCATAAAATAATAGTATTTTATGTGTATTATGAATGAATTTATATCATATTGCGCATGTATTCTCCCCCAAAACATGTAAAAATAGAAAAAGATGGGCCGTAACACTTACCTTAGAGTGTGGTTGTCGAGTTTTTTTCGAGTATTGGATGCGAGGCACCGGGACATGTTGTCGTGAACACGAAACTTTGTGTTTAATTTAGTTTCCTAGTAATTTTAAGATCAATTAATATTTGGAGGGTTATTTCGTAATTTAACTAAAACAACGTACCCATTTATTAATTAAAACAGTTTAAGTGGGACTAAATCGGTTGATAATTTCCAATGAGAGACTAAAAATAACTTATTTCAATTTTATGTTTCAAGCTTGGACTTATTTTGCAAACAAATCTCAAGATGGGGTTTAAGTTATTTAAATAAAATGGAAGTGTAGTTAATTTGGACACATTTTGAAAGGATTTTCGAGTGGGGGTAAATTATGCACATTTTTATTTAAAGTTTGGATATGTTTTGAAAAAGAGTTTTGAATTGGGGTAGAAACTGTAAATATGGAAGGGACTTACGGTGGTGTGGGTGGTGATCGGCTGTAGAGGTAGGTGGCGGTAGGATTTCGGCTTGGGTAGGAGGGGGTGACAAGGCTTGATGCCTTGTTTCCTCCTTGGTTTTTAGGCAATAACACGAAAGGAGGGAGAGAGGGGTGGGGAAGGTTTAACAGTAGTACAGCAGCCCAACAGGTGGTGGTGGCGGTCCTTGACGACTAGAAAATAGTGGGTGGCGACGGGGTGGGTGTTGACTCGTTTTCTTTCCTTCCTTGGATAGAACTCTATAGGGGAGGGGAGGATAGAGGATGAGGTGGTGCTTGGGAGTAGTGTTGATCAAGAGAGGGGGAGGTATAAGGGTGGTTTGGGGTGGTGGTTTTATGTTGGAGTGATGGTGGTGTTGTGGTGGTGATGTTGTAATTAAGAGAGATAGAGAGATATGGAAGGAGAGATTTAAAGTAGAGAAGAGGAAGAAAAGCTGGTGGTTTTGTGTGTTAAATGAGGTTGCATATGACTCCTTTTATAGATAAAGAACACACACACACACATGCCTAAAATGGCCATACCTCCTCACCATGCTTGGTACCCATATGGTGAAGTGTGCAAGAAATGGAAGAAGGTGATGGAGGGAAGATAGTCACGTGGGCAAGAAGAGAATGTGTTGGTGATTTTGTCTTATAAGCCTATTGATGCAACGGGATCCCGATGTCAATAAATTTTTCCGAACATGTCGTTAGATAGAGTTTAATTCAAGGATTCTAAAAACTCGAACGAATTCATTTTTCGAGTTACGGAATTCCTGGAAATCGTGTCTAAATAGCTCGTAACGCTCGATTTTTCGACTTTTGGATATATTTTTTGCTAAAAATATTTTGAGTATGAAATTAAATACTAGGCTATAGCCTGATTCCAAAAATGCTTTCAGTATTTCCATCGGAGGTGCGCAAGTGCCGCAACGGATCAATTCAGTTTTACGCGATTAAAGAAAACTAGTGTTTTACTCTCTGTTTTCTTAAAACTGTCGTATCTTTTGCATACAAACTCCATTTTGGACGTTCTTTATATTTTTGGAAACAGAGGAACATATACTATAAGGTTTTAATGTTTGCTTCACTCATAACTACTTAATACAAATTTTCGGTTTTTCAGACGCATTAACTAGTGTTGTAGTTTGGGAGTTGTTTGATTCATTTGACAGTTTACATATTTGGAAGTAAGGTATCATTTAATATATTATAATATTTTAAATGATTTCATTTATTTCATATTAGGTGCACTAAAACTCAAAGAGTTAAATTACAAATAGATTTACTGTAATTTAGTCATTCACAGTCTATGACCTAAATTCCGAGATATCACATTACCTCCTCGTTAAGGGAATTTCATCCTGAAATTATTAAATTCTAGGCTACTTTGTACTATAATTATGTCGTTCCACTAGTGGAGGGAGTATCGCTGAACAAATGCGGATACTTTTGTTTCATTTGATCCTCGCGTTCACCGGACTTTTACTATAGGTATGCAGCTTTGCTTGAGTCTTTTGATCTCCCGATCCATGATCTCCACTGGTTCCTCCACGAAGTGAAGCTTAGTGTTGACCTGTATCTCATCAAGTAGAATGACGTGGTTCTCGTCAGATAGGTACTTCTTGAGAGTACACACGTGGAAGGTATCGTGTGTTGGATTAGGTGTCTAAGCCCATAACTATTATTGGTATGTACTTTACCCGAGAGTAGCATGGTTCATTTGGGTTTCATATCATCAAGACAATTTGATAGGATGGACTTTTGAGAAGAGGTTATTTATGGTTTATTAATATATTATAAGTTCTAATATATTAATATGAAATCATATGATTTAATTAATATTGATCAAGAATTAATTTGGAATTAATTCTATGATCAAAAGAGACTAATTAAATATATGGGGATTGATTATGTAAATCATTCATTCTTATAATGTGGGCTTATGATCCATAGTTCTTTATTTTGGGCTAAACCCATGTGATGACCCATGGATGATCCATCGAGGTTTAAACCCATGGATCATGAGGAATATGGAAGGTCATGCATATTAGGGTTTGCATGGTGTAACCCTAATTAACCACACTATATAAGAAGCCCCTTAGCATCCAAAATTGGTTACTACTTACACATGTGTTCTTTGGAAGAGCTAGCCGAATTTGAGTGCAAGACACCTTCTCTCAAGTTATCCTTTGTCCTAGGTGTGTTGTGATTCCATTTGAGGAATTTATACTATTGGTGCTAAGTTCTTAAAGGTCCAAGGTTTTCAGCTACAACAAAAGATATGTCATCTAACTAGAACTTTGTATTAAAGATACTCCATTATATGCTAGTTAGGATTATGCTTTGGAAAAACAAATTTGCATGTATATTAGAGAAAACATAGATCCAAAGCATCTAGGGTTGCATGTACACCATAGGAGTGTTAGAATGTTCAAAACCCAACATCGTGAACTTTATTGAGTGCTTGAGGTAATTTGATCTTGTAAGCCACCGGACCAACCCTTTCTAGGATTTCAAAAGGTCCGGTGTATTGGGGGTTTAGTTTACCTCTTTTTCCAAATCTGATGACACCCTTCCATGGAGCAACCTTTAGCAGGACACGATCTCCTACTTTGAATTCCAATGGTTTGTGTCTGATTTTAGCATAGCTCTTTTTTCGACTATGTGCGGCTTTTAATTGTTCCTTTATTTGAACGAACTTCTTCGTCGTTTCGTGAACTATCTCAGGACTAGTGAGTAGAGTGTCTCCAGGATGCTTTTTAGCTAATTGAGTATCTACAACTTCTGCCCAGCATATTAGAGAACGACATATGCGCCCGTACAAGTCCTCCAATGGAGCGGCCTTGATGCTAGTGTGATAGTTATTATGTATGATAATTCAACCAACGGCAAGTGAGTGACCCATGCGTTACCGAAGTTTTTCACACAAGCGTGGAACATATCTTCCAGAGTTTAGATTGTTTTTTTGCTCTGGCTATCTGTTTGAGGATGGTATTTTGTACTCATATCGAGTTTGGTTCATAGGAACCTTTTGCAGTGATTGCCAAAATCTGGAAGTGGATCTACTATCTCGGTCCGAGATGATAGATATCGGCACATCGTGTAGTCTGACTATCTATCTGAGATAGGTCCTGGTGAGTTTCTCCATCTTGTCAGCTTCTTTGATGGCTAAGGAGTGGGCAGAATTGGTCAAGCGGTCAACCACTACCCAGATGGCATCATATCCGTTTGATGTTTTTGGCAGTTTTGTTATGAAGTCCATCATTATCTATGCCCACTTCCATTCTAGGAAAGATGGTTGTTATAGCAGGCCAGACGGATTTTAGTACT